AATAAGATGCGCTGCCCAGCGCTGCATTATCCTGATCGAAAGGATCCTAGTGATTGACACTATTCCGCCCGTGACTCATGCTTCAAATAGGCTTTTGTTTGTTAATTCAGATGAGAGTGATTCTCGGAAGGGTTCTTTCAGTGTAGGTACAGTTCCTGGCTCTTTGCATTACACACGTTGATTTACTCAGTGCGGTTACCTACTGGGGTACGTTAAGGACTTCAAGGAGTTCTCGTGTAAGTATGCACGGTACTAAACCTTTGATGAAAGATCTATTCACAAACCCAGTTGACGCTCATCCCACATTCGACGCCTATTTCCATCAAAAGGAAATTTTCTAGGAGAAGAGGAGTTATGTGTAGAAAATCTCTGAATACTTCCCCAGGAGTCCTGCAAAGGAATAAAGTTTTACACCCCTTATCCCAGCAAGTCAAATAAGTCTCCTCTTTCCTCCTTAAGTGTCGCAGAAGATTTCCATACCAATGACGTGCTTGACGGGCTACGCTATCGATTTCGCCCTTTGAGTTTCATGACGCGCAATTTTGAGTTGATAGAAATCTCAGGGGTGTCTTTATAAATTCTCTTGAAAGAAGGTTTTTGCGCTGCCTAATGGTATGTATGTGGTGGTGACTCTTTAGAATAGCAATAACTCTAATTTTAGCGGGTAGCCACTGAAGGGGCTGGCATGTATTATTGGAAGGTTTCTTTTCAAGTTATCGGAGACTATTGTTATATTTTTTCCCTCCAATAGAAGACGCTTCTGGAGGGCTATTACTGCGCTGAATCATGAGATCTGCACAGATAAAAAAAGCAGAACGCTGGTTTGAGAGGTAGGAATGAAATGGAGACTGTAAACATCTAGAACGCGATCCATAAGACCTAATTGTTACTTATTCTGATGCGGTAATTCTCAAATTTCCATGGCTTCCAAATTACAACATGGAGGAAGTGTGAGGAGTGTCAGTTGCCGCGGATCCTGGGAATGGGCTGACGTCATTTTTGCGTCGCTTCCCAGGCGCGACATAGGAGAAGAACTTAATTCTGTGTAGCCGAATATAAAACTTCGATTTGCATTTGATCGCTTCGAAATTTTGCAAATTAGCACCTGCTGTTCCTTTGTTGCTTATTACTAAAAAACGTGACAATGTGTTTGTTATGCTTCATGTACTTACTGCATGTTCGCCATAGAGTGCATGACTGTGAAGCGTGCCTAATAAGTTCTCAGTTGCTCTGTGCCTGGTGTTGCTTCGGGCACGCATCAAACAGCAGCATCCCAATAAGTTTCGTATTAGAGAAGCTGTTTGAGAACTATTGTAGAACAGTAGATTTCATTTTTCATTCGGTTTTATTTATATTTGAGTTGATCCTTTCAGCTGGAGATCAGAGGGCGCATCCGGAAGCTGATCCAGCAGCCGTGGCCACCTGCCCAGTTATCAAACCACCTACGTCTGGTAGGACCTTCTTTTGTTACCCATAATATATTATGTTGCATCTCATTTCATTTTTCCTATTCGCACCAGAAGCCAAGTGTTATTGAGAATTAGTCAAACTTAATTGGAAATTAATGTATGTCAAACGGACTGGTTGGGGCTTGGAGGTTGGTCGGTTCTTATTTACTAACGAGTAATCATGGATTGTCAAAAATGATTTTCGAACGCTATCTTCTGATCTTCCTGCGTTTCCTCTTTTGTTGCACTCACCAAGTGCGTTCTTTGTTTTGTATGCCAACCACTTCTGACAAATCTACCCACATGTCTCAATCGGTTCGCCTCTCTCACTAAAAAATTAACTATTAATTTTTACTCGATTGTTGGAAGATGCTCAGACGAGAGCATACTTTCAGTCCATTTTCCTGTGTTTAAAAATAGATTTAAACAGATTTCAGCCATGATGGGTTTCAGATGTTGCTTTCTTTTAGCTGAGTCTATCCAGTGCAAAGAACCGGATGAGGCACATCCTGAGCTCAAGCAAAACTTCATTTCCAAGAATTTGAAGTCGCTGGGCTTCACCAAGAAGCAGGTATGTTGTTGTGCTTTCTTCCAACCTAAATTGAGAGTGCTGTGCTGCTAACATGTGCTTATCATTTGTCTCAATGAACTTCATTTTCATTGCGACTGTGGTAGTTTGTGAAATATGTTTAGCGTAAAGATTAACCAGTTTCTATTCCACTTGCTTTAGCACTATTTTTGAATAGTAGGAGCCCATGGGCAGGGATAATGGTAGCCCTCGCACAACCATACATTTACACCAAACTTGGTTTTATTACACCACATTTTATATCACTTGGCGTTTTTTGCCTCGTATCACTTGGTGTTTTTTTCGTATCCGCTCACTATTATATAGCCGGGGATTTGACTGAATCTTTCGACAAATAGGATTGCTTCCACCAGTAACATGCAGGAAAATTTGGGCCCGCCCTCCGGCTCTTCTTCAGCGTTAAGGGTATTCAAGAGCTCTAAAAATTTTCTCACTATTGTTTCAATTAAATCGGTGAACTACTTATGATAGACTCTCATTTCGGTATAAAAATTGGTTTCGTGATTCCTTACGTATGTTGTACGTCTTGTCGATCTCGTAGCGCTCATAGGAGCTGGATGTTCTGGAGCGCGGCGGGAGCGGCGCAGATAATAAGCGATCTTTTCGTCGTACGAATCGGGAAGATCACTCGGACTCCGCCGCTCTACTCGATCTGTCAAGAACGTCGTCCTCGCGTGGAAAAAAGAAGGCGCGTTACGGTGCACTCTTTGAAGTGGAACATTTGCAAACGCTCCGGTGGCGTATTGGGAGAACTGCGATGAAGGGAAGTCCGCGTCCAGCGGCCAGATTCATCAACGCTCTCGGAAGTTTTCTGAGATCGCGAACGTTTGGAGGAGTGGCATTGGAAATTCCGAAATGCTGAATTTTAGTCTCACAAGAATGTTTCACATTTTTGTAGGAAAGTGTTTTCTAATTCACTTCTTGTGGGAAGAAGATCAATTCTTCAGATTCCGTTGATGAATCTGAGCATGGGTTTACGTAGACACGACTCCCTTGCGCTGCTTATTTATGAGTATTTTGAATTTTTTCAAAGAGTTGGTTTCAAATGTTGCGCTTACTATCGTTTGAAGCTGAGACTCATCCAATTTCATAATGCGGTTTCATTTTGTTGCCAATCGCCACCTCGAAGCGAGTGCATTTTTTCCTCTTCGAGATTATCCGCTTTTGAATGATTAAAGAATTGAAGGCCCTCACAGTAGCGTTTCATTTTTTTCATTCACAGCAAGGTAGAAATAAGCGAAACGTTGCCTGAATGGAAGGCTGCTTGGTAGAGTGCGCCAGAATGGACACAACAGGCAACGTCTCGATCTGCATTCATTGCTGCTCCCAGTTTCCTCTCTCGCTGATGGCACCGCTCAATGCATGAAATAACCGCACGCTTTCCAATTTCAATTCAAAACTTGTGACTGGATATGATTAACTGTCCATTTTTGTGTTATGGCTTTATTCTGGCATGTACCCCTTTTCAAGGCAGTTCTTGTTGTGCGTTTTTAATTGCTTGGAATGCTTAGTGCTTCGGGGAATGTCTCGGATCAACTTTCTAATTCCGCAAACTGACTTTAATATCGATAAGAGTATTTTTGCTAGAAGAGACACTCCCCTCCAAACTTTTATGATTCTCATTTCCTACTGTCATCATTTCAGCCTGTACTCACCAAAGAGGAAGAAGAACGTATTTTTGCTGAATACCACTACACAGGAGCAACAACTAATATTCACCCGTTGTTGTCCTCACTGATCAATTACACCCATCCAGTGAAGTTCAGCGGATTTGATGTCGCGGAAAGTGAGTCTGAAGTTTTGTTTTCATCAATCTGATCACTCGTCGTTATCGTTCTGAAGGTTTTCCGTAGGCTCATTTGAAGTACTTCAAAATGTGTGAGGTGTACTAGTGATTTCAACAGCACTTTTTATAATAGTTGTTATCAATAGTCACTTCGATACTCGCTGGGAACTATTTGAGATATAAATGTTGTTATTTCAAATATTGAGACTTAATTGATGTTCACTTTTTCACAACTAGTTTCTTTGACAATGATTTCCCAATAATTCTGCATTCCACATGTCATCATTCTCGAGTCCACTGGTCTTGGTTACTTGAAGCAGTGTGCCCCAGAGTTCGTTAACTACAATAAGCGTCAGCTGAGCAGGATATATCCGAAAGGAGCCAGGGTGGATTCAAAGCCATTTTCTTAACCACACCGGTTTCGTTTTATTGTGAAAAGCTCTTTGTCGAGTGACATGTAGTTACTCACAAGTACTCATTCACTTTTTCGCTTCAGATATTCTGGAATGCCGGTTGTCAAATGGTTGCCCTAAACTTCCAAACACCCGATGTGTACATGCAACTAAATATGGGCAAATTCGAGTACAACTGTGGATCTGGGTATGTTTTGGAGAATTTTTTTTTCCAACACCTATTGTAACCATTCAAAATCCTATCGAAACTCCACGGATATACGTTTGGACAGGAACACACGGTTATAAATTTTGTATAGAGTAGACAGAAGATATCAGGGAAAAACAGTGCTAAGATGTCGGTCAGACTCTGCGATTGCATCGCGCGATGCAGTCGCTCTTGCAATGTGCACAAGCGACGGGCGATTGGCCCCGCCCACATCGATGCAGTCGACATCGGTATCGATCGCGGCGGGCCATTGCCCGCCGCTTGCACTTTTGGCAGAGCGATTGCATCGCGCGATGCAATCGCAGAGTCTGACCGACATCTAAATGTTGCAACAACACTAGCATTTTTTCTAGCATTTTTACATCATGCAAATGCGCCCCCCCCCCCTCCCCAATAATCCTATGAGAACATCAAGAGCGACCAACTCACCAAAGCTTACACGGATACGTAGCAGTAGTTGGTGACCTCCTTGCAAGGGATTTATGGAGTGGGGCCTTTTTGGAGACGTCGCTGACTGCTTCTTTGCCCAAAGTGACTGTTGCTTGAGCACAATGGGTTAGATGAACGAGTGTCAGGTCGAAAGTAATCAGGCTGGTGTCAGAGTCCGCGATCCGTCGCAGGTTTCACTGATTTTCGCTATTTTCGCGATTTGCGCGAAGCCTGCCTCCAGGTGTGCGTGATATGGGAAGGTAATCTTGGTTTGCTCGACGTTTTTGAGACAGTAATCAGGTTTGGGTGAGAATGATTTGAAATGGCGAATTAGTCCTCAAGTTTTATGCGTACGTGACAGTGTCGTTTTCAAATGAGCTCAAGGATCATGATATTCCGGTCTCAGAAAATTTTGCAAGACGTTACGTTCAAAAATCTATCTTTATTTTTAAGGTACCTGTTGAAACCTGATTTCATGCGGCGACCGGACAGAACCTTCGACCCGTTTTCTGAATCACCTGTGGATGGTGTGATTGCTGCGCATTGTAGTGTTCGAGTACGTTGAAATTTTGTGACGGTTCTCTTTTTAAGATAATTGAAAGCGTTGGTTTTCAGGTAATTTCGGGGCAGTTCTTGACGGACAGGAAGGTTGGCACGTATGTGGAAGTAGAAATGTATGGTTTACCAACGGATACAATAAGGAAGGAACATAAGACCAAAGTCATACCAGCGAACGGGCTCAATCCTGTTTACAGTGAAGCTCCATTCGTGTTCAGAAAGGTAATTTCGTCTAGACTCGGTATCTATAGTTTGTATTTGATTGAGCTTAGTGTTGAGGCAGCTTTCTAAAGTTAGCGTGTCCAG